GTCCTGAACAACTCTTGGTTTCATAAATGCTTTAAGAGAATTAAGCCTCAAATTCTCATAGAAGCGGTCTCACTTCACATTTATATAGATGATCTCCTATAGTATAATACATCAGGAATCATTAAAAGTATACATTTATCCTTGAATACTTTCTATTCCAACACTTTTTGTAGGAATGAGAGTAAGTGCTTTATACTGAATCTTTCCTAACTTAGTTATCCCATTGAACCAAAATCTTGTGTCTCCAATCTACAAGGTTGGGTTTCCGTTATGCTGATTCTATTCGATAGTTTTTTTCCCATTCCCCTAGAAAGATGATATACTTGATTTCTCGTTAATCATTTCGTCAAATGATCTGCTATGTTGTCTTTTGATTTAACATAGTTAATCGAGATTATACAATTTGATATTAATTGTTTAATTGTATTATGTCTCCGACGAATATGTCGAGATTTACCATTATACATATTATTTTGTGCCCTTACAATAGCTGATTGATTATCACAATGTATATTAATCGCATGTACCGATTTTTTCAACATGGTATATCCTCGAGAAAATTACGAAGTCATTCTGCTTCTTCTCCAATTTTATCTAAAACAATAAACACAGATTCCATCGTGGATCGAGCTATACAAGTTTGCTTTGCCTCTAATAGTAAACACATAACCACTTGTAGGCTTTGAATCCTTTGTGTCAGATATCCAATTTGCATCGGTATATCCTTCTAACACTACATGATATCTTGAGTAGTATAGTCCATAATTGACCGTATGTCTTAAGTATTTAAGAACTTGATCTAATGATTTACAATGGTCATAACTTGGATTACTCATCAATCTACTCAACTTGTTGACTGCATATACTATATCAGGACGCGTGCAGTTGGTACACATTAAGCTGCCTATAACACGTGAATATTCTAATTGAGATACGGGATCACTAGTATTTTTGGCTAAGTGTAAACTTAAGTCAAACTGGTTTATCTTCATACGCTTTAAACTTTTTAAATATAATCTCAATATAGTGTGATTGAGACAATGACAAACCATTAAATGTTTTAGAGATTTTAATCACATATCTTTCATGTCAAAATATTTTATCAACATTTTTTTGGTTGAGGTAATAATGTTCGAATTATTTCCCATAATTCACATATCATCAACATAAGACATACAATCACATATCCATTAGGTCTGGTTTTGATGTAGACACATTTATCACATTCATTGATTTTGAAATCATTTGACAATATAGTTTTGTCAAATTTTTCATGCCATTGTTTCAGTACCTGTTTTAATCTATGTAACGATTTTACAAGCTTACACACCTTCTTTTCATTTCTAAGAACAACAAACCCTATAGGTTGTTCCATATAAATTTCTTTTTCTAATTCAGCATTCAAAAATGCAGTCTTAACATCCATTTGATGCATTTCAAGGTTATGCAATGCAGCGATAGCAATGAACACATGTATATATGTGATCCTTGTAAAGGTGAATAGGTATCGAAGAAATCCAGTCATTCCTTCTGTTTATACCATTTGGCTACTAATGTAGCCTTGTGCTTGTCTATTGATCCATCGGATTTTAATTTCCTTTTGAAGATCCATTTGCAGTCTAAAACTTTGTTCAACCAAATTTCAAGTATGGTTGTTCATGATGAATTCAATTTTATAATTAATAGTTTCTTTCACAAAAAATGAGCTTCAGGAGTGGACATTGTTTAATCAAATGTCCTAGAATCATTTTCTAGTATATATGTTAGAAAACTTGGACCAAAGGTATTATGAATCCTTTGACTTTTACTACGCCTTGATTTTTCATCTTCTTGATAGTTTCTAATTGCAGTATCGTAAGTTCGTTTGTTTGAACTTACTTCTTTCTCTTTACAAGGAAATATATCCTTAAAGAATACAGCATTCCTATGATGTACATCAAGTATATCAGACTTATGAACCAAAAATCAATATGCACTATTGTTGTTACATATCCAATGAATACACACACTCTCTCTACATTCAAGCTCTATAAATCTCTCTCTATCTATACATCGCCACCACCACAAAACTCTCGTCGTCGCCACTGGCAATCAGAAATGATTTCATCCCAAATGCAAAGTAGATCGACGAGGCTTTTAAATAAGCTCCAGATTTCAATTCTAGAAATTATGAAGAAACTCCATCGACTAGAAAATCTTTTACTATGTCGCTTAAATTATATAGGAATTCCCGAGCCTAATATTTAAGAATAATAAGTTCTTCATTAACAAAAATAAAATAACGGCTTAAAATAGCAAAACAGCTTATGCCCCTGTTTTCTAAATCAAATTCAACAATTCATTTCAATCACATATTGTATAGATCCTACAACTTTTCAATCATACATTTCATCAACTTTTATTAAAATCTATTAAAAATCTGATTTTAATTCCCACCAAACAGGGACTATATTTGTCAAGAAGTGCAAAATCGTGTGGATACGATCCTCATTATGTAATTTTCTAAATCAAATTCAACAATTCATTTCAATCACATATTGTATAGATCCTACAACTTTTCAATCATACATTTCATCAAATTTTATTAAAATCTATTAAAAATCTGATTTTAATTCCCACCAAACAGGGACTATATTTGTCAAGAAGTGCAAAATCGTGTGGATACGATCCTCATTATGTATCTTGATTAATTGGATCATTTATTTGTGGATCGTCATCTGACACCTTGCCTATTCGCTCCGCCATTGTGGCTACGATGGTGATCATCCTGGACCTACTTGAAGCGTTGTTCCACCTTGCATCTCAAGGCATTGATTGTAGCCTCGTTTGTTTATGCCAAATCTACCGAGTTTCATTTCCCAATCTTAACAAAATTTTGAGGTACAAGTGGTGGTAGTGAGTTTGGAGGTGGAGGTGGTTATGGTTGTGGATTTGAGGTAGTGGTGGTGAGTCGGAGGTGGGGTGGATTTGAGGTGGATGTAATGGTGGTGGTTGTAGATTTAAGATGAAAGTGGAGGTGGAGGTGGAGGTGGAGGTGGAGGTGGTGGTGGTGGTGATTATGGATTTGAGGTGAAAGTGGTGGTGATGGTAGTGGTGGGTGTGATTTGGGTGGTATCGACGGTGGAGGAGTAGGATAGGTGAGCTTGGGGAAATGAAGAGTAATTCGTGACTAGTTAATTTGATAATTTGTGATCAATAAAAGTTGTAATAGATAAAAATGTGTATTTTGCGACTAAATTATAATTGCTACCCACAATTTGTGTTTTGTGACTAGTACGTGATCGTGATCATAAATTATATATTATTTTAACATCGACATGTTTAATTAATTAACGGGTCACAAAATTTTATCTAAAGGTGGTCATAATTGCGACCACCTGATTTTTGAAAAAAATCCACAAGTTCATTAAATTTGAGAGTGTATCTTGAAACTATGATAATTATGTATTTTTTTTTTTCCAATTATTATTCATGCAATCTAGGTCGGACGTCGAGTAGGTCGGTCCAAATATTTCAATACTCGATTTCACCTATTACATTTCGGGTATTTTGTAAATGAAACGATTCGATTCCACATAATTATTGGAACCAAATTCAAACCCCGAACCGTTGGTTTTGATTTGGTTCTACCCATAACTTTTTGAATATATATTTAGCCCCTGTTTGATGGCCATTATTTTGAAAATATAGAGTTTTGAATAGTCAATTTTTGAGAATGTGTAGTTAAAAAATAGAAAAAAATTTGGACTTACGTGTAAAATATTTTATTGTGTAAATGTGTTGAAAATGAGTATGAGAATTAAAGAATTTTAAAATAATGATTGTCAAATAGGAGTTTAGTAAATTCAACCATGTAATTAGATGAATTCTTGACGGACTATCCAACATGTCGTAAATTTAGTATTTCACATTAATGGACTAATCACCACGATGTAGGCAAGAAGGCATTCGAACCCCTGACACTGTGGTTCGTAGTCACTTGTTCTAATCCTCTAAGATACACGCTCCACTGAATCTGTTCCACGAGCACATACAAAAAAGGAACATTTCCTCACTCCTCCCCCAACCATTTGATTCTGATAATAAAAAGTTTGACGAAAGACAAAGGTTTACAAATAGGACCAGCCTATATGACACTAGTCAGAACGCAAAAATTTTTAACCACCATTAGAAGTTGCACAATCCAAAAAAAGTTATCAAAAGAGCCTTAAAATGGATAATCACTAACTTGAGTTGATGAATATTCTCGATGGATTTTAAATCGATTACATGAATCCTCGTGTCACACCAACTATTTAAACATGCTTGCTTGAATTTATTTATTCAATTCTTAGAAATATCACACAAGAGGTCAAAAGAGGATTTTGATGAACTTGCTTGCACGTGTAGAAACTTATTCAATTTGTTCATTCATTTTTTTGAATTTGTGGTCTTAGATATATCGATATTTGATTTATTTTTTGTACTCAATCAACCTCGACCAAGCCTAACATTTCAGCTGCAAGCTATATAATAGAGTATGGTCAGACCAAATTGCAGACACTTGACTGAGATAGTTTCATGGGTTGCTACCAATAACATTTGCAAACTTAGATTAGAAAATTCTGTTGGCTCCAAGCACTACTGCTGACAACATTGATAACGTATCAGAGGGTTGATGTTAGCAAAGAAACAATACAGTAGCTGTTTCATCAGCCTACACTCAAGAACACAGAAAGCAGTTGATTAACTTAATTCTTTAAAAAACAATAATTTGGACAGTGAAATAATATTCAAGAGGCCAGAACGAAAGGCCTTTCTAGAGGGAAGGTGAGTACAACTCAAACAAGCAACATAAGGTATATTAATAAAATTGGTTTCAACATTGTAACTTCATGTATATTATGCCCCACTGTTGCCATATATATGATTCACAACGTATGAGCAGACTGGAGGAACAGCCAAACAAGGCATAATAATCACCAACAACCTCAGGGGCAATTTGGTAAACCACAAGAAAAATGATGCAAGCACAACTGTTTATTTTTTTGGTAGATCCGCAGGTTGATTTTCCTTGTTTTAATGTGCGGACTCTCCGAGGAAATCCCATTCCGGTACTGTGTTATAAGCCTACTGCCCACTCCATAATACCCAAAAATCTATACTCTCTTTGCTCCACAGATTTTCAGAGAGCCCGCTAACAGAGAAAAGATGGCGTGCTCCAGTATGGTGAAATTGAACGCCGCTGCCTCATCTTGGATCGGTGGACAGCAGACCTTTAATCAACGGTCCGGATCGGCCTGTCGTTTACCCTCCCGCCGTGTCTCTGTCATCCGCGCCGGATCTTATACCGATGAACTCGTCAAAACCGCTGTAAGCTTAATACTAAATTCTGAATTTTTAGTTCGTGTACCGAGAAATTGAAAAAAATGGCCTGTAAGTTTGTCCAAAGATGATTCATTTGTGTGTATATAGTATTGTAATTAAACTGCATAGTACGTAAGCTTATACTCTTTCTGCCTTATATTGAAAGTTATAGTTATGAGTCTTGGATATATTTTACACTTATTGAGTATAATTTTATAAATCCAGGAATTTATTAAATGGTTCTAATGCTATGTAATTGTTTGTGTTTTGTTGATTACAAAAGACGAACCAAGACACTTATTTGATATGGCATGCATGTATATAGAATATTGCAGGCAAGAGTTTGCGAGATTGGATAAAGGATCTATATCTGAATGTTTTTCTTTTTCCTTTTTATGCAGTATCGGATATTTATGGTTTTTTTAAATTAAATTATTAGTAGTGTTTGCTTTGATTCAGCTTTTCTCTTTTTAGCTTTAGGTACAAAGATTTAGTTTGGCATTAGCCACCGGGTAAGTTTAAAATTTGAGACTGTTACCACTATTTTGAAACTGATTTTGAAGGGTATACCATATATGAGCAATTGAAGATCTTCTAGAAATTGTACTTATGTTGTGAAGTTGCAGTGAGATCCTGATTTGTGCCGTGACATCTTGTTTGTTAATATTCACATACACATACGAGGAAATCTATGTTGGTTTATGTATTTGCACGGAAGGACATTATATTATTTTTCATTTGTTACTTTCTTTTCTTAGTAGTTTGAAATACAATTATTTTTGGACAAATATATGTAGTTTATGGATTGTTGATTTTCTTGTATTCCTTATTCAAATGAACAGTTCAAATTATGGTGAAGAAATTATGTGCTGCTTGGTCATGCTTTTAAGTTTGTGGGTCCTAAAGAACGTGTGGATAATAAATGGGTAGTAAGTGTTTCAAATGGTAAATTCCTATTTAGACTGGCACAACGGATTCTGTTCTTTTATGAATTTGGACTGCAATAAGAACACATTCTGTCTAAGTGTTATTGTTGCTCTTCACATACAAGTTTGAAGTTCGCCCTTATATGATTGCTAAGGAGTTTCTGTTTTGTTCCTGTCAAGAGTAGAAATCAATTGCATCTCCAGGACGGGGTATCCTTGCTATTGATGAATCAAATGCAACCTGTGGAAAGAGGTTGGCGTCCATTGGACTTGACAACACAGAAACAAACAGACAGACTTATAGACAACTTTTGCTGACAACACCTGGCCTAGGCGAATATATTTCCGGTGCCATTCTCTTTGAGGAGACACTTTACCAGTCGACTACAGATGGAAAGAAGTTCGTAGACTGTTTACGTGATGAGAATATTGTACCTGGTATCAAAGTTGACAAGGTGAGCTTTTCTAATCTTTAAACCTTTTGTATATTCTCCGCCTTATCAGAATTTTTGCTTGCTTATAACGTTTCACTAGTCTGAAGATGACCAAATCTCTGTTTTTGTTGACAGGGTTTGGTTCCACTACCAGGATCCAACAACGAATCGTGGTGCCAAGGATTAGATGGATTGGCTTCTAGATCTGCTGAATACTACAAGCAAGGGGCTCGTTTTGCGAAATGGTATGTTCCATTTCTCTTGTTTATTTGAGACCATCTGTGTCAATGAATACTGATTCGTTTTCTTTCAAGGAAGAATAACCTTTGTATTTGTCCTTATTGCCTTTGCATGTAAAAATAGGAGAACTGTTGTTAGCATACCATGTGGTCCTTCTGCTCTGGCTGTTAAGGAAGCTGCCTGGGGTCTTGCTCGATATGCTGCTATTTCCCAGGTATCTATTCAAATTTCAATGCCTCCCTTTCCCCTCGCTGAACTTTAGATGATTGATCTGTTCCAGTGGGTTAGAACTGGAGGACAAGACTTGAAGCATGTCTGGCTAAGCAATTTATAAGTTACTTTTTTAAGTTAGAAAAGATTTATTTCTTGAACATATTCGTTACCTTACTGCAATAACTTGCTTATTTCCAGTTGTGATCAATATTTTTTATTTATTTATTTTGAAACTTACTTAATTACTCAAGTGAACTTTTTATGCTTAGCCAAGAATGCTTTTCGTGAAAACCTTTTGTTTCATTCTCGAGGAACTCATTCTCGGCAACCTAAAACAATTTTTCTTATTTCCTATAGGGTCGTGAAGTTATTAGAGGATAAACATGTGCTTTCTTACGCAGGACAATGGTCTTGTGCCTATTGTAGAACCCGAAATTCTTCTTGATGGAGACCACCCAATCGAGAGGACACTAGAAGTTGCAGAGCAAGTGTGGTCAGAGGTCTTCTACTACTTAGCAGAAAACAATGTTGTCTTTGAAGGGATACTTCTTAAACCTAGCATGGTAACTCCAGGCGCTGAACACAAAGAGAAGGCTTCACCAGAGACCATTGCCAAATACACACTCAACATGCTAAAAAGGAGAGTACCTCCTGCAGTTCCAGGAATTATGGTACTAAACAGATGAACCCAACAATCATTATTCTTTTTTATCTACACTTGTCATCACTTTCAATGGGCTCTTCAATTAAATTTTCTTCCCGATTTAGTTCTTGTCAGGTGGACAATCTGAAGTAGAGGCAACGTTGAATCTCAACGCGATGAACCAGAGTCCCAACCCATGGCATGTCTCTTTCTCCTATGCACGAGCACTCCAGAACAGTGTGCTGAAAACATGGCAAGGACACCCCGAGAATGTAGAAGCTGGGCAAACAGCACTTTTGGTACGTTCTAAGGCCAACTCCTTGGCACAGCTCGGAAAGTACTCGGCTGAAGGCGAAGGGGAGGATGCCAAGAAAGGAATGTTCGTCAAGGGCTACACATACTGAGTGCTGGCCACATCTTGTAGCCCAACGTAGCCGTGTAATCTTGAGCTGTGCTTAGTTACTCCCTTTGCAACCTTAAATATATGGTGCTTGAACAATAATAAGACATGAGAAGGATTTATCTGAATTTCAGCCCATATCCGGGCACTTTTGGCATTATGTAAGAAGACGAGTGTATCGTTTTCATTAAATTATTTCGAAAGACATGTACCTGCAGAAATTTATCATTTTTGTTTAATCGTTATGTGATACTGCGGAAATTTGTCTTGCCTCACATTTATGATGCTACAAACAAGAAAATAAAATTTAGCTTAAAAAATGAACGTGTCATAATCACCTGACAATTAGAGCATGTTCGAGCTCCATTTTATTCGAAAAATACATATTGGAATAGTAAATTGACATAGAATGTGCTGTTTAAAAATAAGAAAAAGTTTTGAATTTGCGTGTAAAAATAAGGAAAAAATTTGTATTTGTGTACAACATTATTTTATTGAATAATACATTTTCATCTTTTCCTTTTCTCGTTTTGTGGAGATATTTTCTCAATATTTTCATTTTAGTATCCACCTCAAATTTGAAAAGTATCACCACAAACTTTGCTGATAAATTATAATTATATTTCTTTTATTATATGAGTACCAACAATTTTTATAAAATATGCATTGAATGAATAAGTTAAATTTTAGCTTTTGGTCTCCATTATTTTTAAAATACATTTTTCTCTATTTATTTTCATTCACACATTTTTCAATAAAATAATAATATACGCAAATTCAAAACTTTTCTTTATTTTTTAACCAATTTTCTCCATCAAATCACTATTCCAAAATGCATTTTAGCAAAAAAATAGAGATCAAACATGCTATTAATCACTTAGTTCATTTGCAATTCTATCATAATTATAATAATACGAGATGTGTGAAAATGCTAACTCAAAATTTTGAATGGGAACAATACATAGCTCTTACATACAAAAATCACATTTCAAAACTAACACACTCCCTAAAATATTTTATAAATCAGGTGATAAATCAAATTATTAAATATATAATTATAATATAATATAATATACATTTATTCTCTCTCTCTCTCTGTCAGTTGGCATATTGATAATATAATTCCCATCCCACCTCAGAAATCTCCAAAATTCAAATCTATCTACACTCCACCTCGACGGATCCAACCCCAACCCTATCTCATTGTAGAAAACTCCAAAAAAAAATGTATTTCCTTCTCTACTTAAGCTTTCTCACTCTATACACATTTACGAACACAAATAATTTTGCAGGCGATGGTGATGAGATGACACTATGTTTAGAAAATAGATTTACGTGGTGGCGGTGATGGTTCATTGCAGGTGATAAAAGTACATCGAAGTTGATCCGCTTAATGGTGGTGGGGGTGGGGGTGGTATGGTGGGGTGGTAGCAACATTTTGAGTAATGTGTGGTGGTGGTAGTGTTGCATTATAGTTGATAAGATTTGTGACTAATTATGTTATATTTATTGTTTGTGACCATACTTGTGTGTTATTTATGACTATTTGTGACAAGATCGTCTATGATCAAGTCAGTCTACTTTGTGACTATATGTAACCAAGTCACCGACATGTGTTATGTGTGACTAATTGTGACCAAAATTTTATTACCGTCTATAACCAAATCAGTCTAATTTGTGACTCTCCGTTAATCTGGTCACAAACAGTCACAATGAAGATAAAATTTATCACAATCAGTCACAATAAATACATATTTGATCACAGAAGATCACCACAAACAAATCTGCACACATCGCAGAATAGCACCACAATCCACCACCCATCACCTCCGACATCACCTCCAATGCACCACCTCTACCACCTTCAACTAAAATTGAAGACCATGAATACTACCTTCATTGACCCGTGTTATCCGTGACGAAACGTAATCAACTTTGTGTTCAATGTGACAGTCTGTGACCATGTCGTTTAATTTGTGATCAACTTTTCGTTGTTGTGCAAGGCAATTCTTCTCCATTACGGGCATCGATGTCATCAAGATATGGTAGATGGTTGGTAGAAAGGGTGATAAAGATAGAGAAAGATAGAGAGAAGGAAGAAGATGAGAATCGACCTTACCACTAAAAAGATCGGATCACAAAAAAACTATCGACCACTAAAAAACCACCATAACCACGAACAATCACCAACCATGGTACAAACGACCCACAACACCCGTAGAAGTCAGATTAGAAACCACCTCAGCACAAGCGATGCCCAACACATGGCGTTGTGCTGTGCGCAACCATTGGAAGAGAAAGAGCTGTGGCGTTGGAAATGAGCCACAGAAAGAACGGGAGATAAGTCGTCGAAAGAGTAGGAGAGAGAGGATAGAGAGAACAGGTAATGATGAAGAGAGAGATAGAAGACGAGAAAATGATTTAGGGGTTTTGTGGTGTGGTGGAGTGGGGTTGGGTGGTTATGTAAATTAATTTAATTTATAGCTTTAATTAACCTTATTTAGTACCTGATATTTGAATTTAAAACTAATCGTCCTTATTTATGAAAGTTGATCTTTAAATGTAAGGTTCTAGGTAATTTTCCTATCTTGAATCACTTTTAGAGCATGTTTGAGCCCCATTTCTTGAATTCAAATGCATTTTGAAATAGTATTTCGACGGAGAATATTAGGTTAAAAAATAAGAATTTTTTTTTGGATTTGGAAATAATATTTTTTATTAAAAAATGTGTGATTGAAAGTAAAAAAAAGAAAAATATATTTTAAAAAGGGTAATTGGCGCAAAACGTCCATACCTTTGACGGGTCTTGTGCATAACACTACCTTTCATTTTTTGACGCAGAACGTCCATATCTTTCACATTTTTGGCGCAGAACGTCTTTTTTCCCAATTTTGACCATTTTACCCTCCAATTTAAATAAAAAAAAAGAAAAATAAAGAATAAATTGCAATCTGTTCCTAAACTTTTTTTAAAATGCAAATCAGTTGAAAACTTATAAAAATATTTAAAAAAAAAAAAAA